AAATTAATCTACAAAAGAGTCTACAAATTCATGGCCACAAGTTGTTCGCGTAAATGTCTAAATGAAGAATTATTTAAGCTATGAGCTTGAATTTGATTTTGAATGGTTTGTATTATGTAGGAAATCATTCCTAAGGCTTTTGAGGTCTTGGAAACAGTATATAACTCCATCGACAAGGTATGTAGGGCTTTCGCTATACTTTTCGGCATGACTAGAATTCGAATAAACGTTTATCGAATTGTCTCGTCGGATTCGAGTTATTTCACCTCCAACTTATAAAGATGCTTAGACCTGATCTTTTCTCATAGATTGCTTACTCTAGAGGATATCTATGAATTCTCGGATTTCCTTGTTCCTTGCTTAAAAAGAACTAGAGCCTTTTACTCGTTCTCCTTTCGACGTTCATATAAATCATGAATAAGTAACATTTACTTCAAAGGTACTCATAATACACAACTCTCATGTTCTTAGTACTTGTTGGCTCGTAGTTGAAAATTAAATATTTTTAGCCACAACCATGATAGTCGGGGAAGAATGATGATAGGCCACTTCGACTCTTCTTAGAATACGTCTTTTAAGGTTGGTTTCGCATTGCACCTATATAATTTATGATCTAGTATATGTATGTATTTACTTTCATTACCGAGCCGCATTATAGACGGCCGGGTATGACACATATTGTGTAACCACTGATCAGTTGGGATTACCGAGCTTCACGTGGCCGGGTACGATTCTACCGAGCCTTTATTATGGCCGGGTATGTTATGGATATTATAGCCCCACAGAGGGATTTATTATTATATAATGTGATATATTATAAGTAGCGATAGTGAACGACGGTGTCACGAGCATACATTTATATCCATGTTGAATTTTAGTTTCCTACCGAGGCTAGTTTCAGAATTTAAATTATCTCTATGTCTCTTCTCTTGTTAATTACATTTTTCATGTTACACTTGTCGCCCTACATATTCAGTACATATTTCGTACTGACGCATTTTTATGCGCTGTGTTCATGTCCACAGGTTCGAATAGACAGAGTGGTGTGCCTCCTCAGTAGGACCCCCAGGATCAGCGTTGGGTTTCGCACTCCACTTCTTCGGAGTTGCTGACTTTGAGTCCATAGGTACTATTACAGATGTATATGTGTGGTTTTGGGCATGTCGGGGGCTTTGTCCCGCCCTGTTGAGATTGTCTTACACTCTTAGAGGCTTGCAGACTAGCGGTCATTGTATATATATATATTTTTCGTATCGCCCTATCGGCCTTATGGATAGCTGTTATACTGTTGTTACAGCCTTGTTG